CGAAACGGCTCTCCAGTGCTTGCAGGTTTCTAATGGAGGTTTAACAATAAGTGAGTGATAATTTAATTAGAAAGTTGGAAACTACAAATTTAAACACTTTAGCCTTAACGTTACATATAATTTTCAAAATAATCGAATTTATTAATCGAACAATAAGAATGAGTGTGTTCTGACATCACACAAACAAATAACCATTATTGTAGGCTTATTTGAAGTATTCGTAAGATTAACAGAAGATAACACTTTGTCTTTGACTAAAACGAACTATTCTCTAATGGAATACAACTCATTAAATACACACTATGCGTTGTTCTCTTACAAACTTATCTTAATGTTTACTATCAAAAAAAATGATTTCATTTTGAAGACAAAAACTGATCAAGAAGAAAATAAGTCACGATCGGAAGTTGAAAATTCAATCAAAACTCAGCGTCAATCAATTCATTCAGATGAACCAATTACACTAACAACAAGGTAAATAATTGTTATCCAGCTTATGTTTATAACTATTTTTAAGTAAAGTGGGATTTGTGGAGATTGTAGAATGATTGTAATTTCAATCATGTACTGGTTATGAATGTATACTGATAAAGAGTCAAACATTAAGACAAGAATGTCATCTGGTGCTTCTAGGTGTTAAATGGTGAGATTAGTTCGTAATTTAAACTAATGATGTATACACTGAAATCATGAATCAGTCATCGTTAGACCACCATTAGGAACCCGGAAATATTGGACAGCCTTAGAATGTGACTCTTCAGCACTAAGCACCGACGACTCTCGTTACCCGCGGGGTTCTAACCCATGACCTTCGGTCTTGTGCGCGACCACCGAGCCGGCATTCGGTTGTGGTAATGTCTAAGGTTCTGAACAACCTCACCCATTGCCAATGGTAGTTAATACTTACACAATTTCCACAATTGTATAATCAAAAATTATGATATTTACAATTATTTGACAATGGAGATTATGTTTTCTCAACAAAAAACGTTTAAAGAATAATCTACACTTTTAATTACTATTTTATTCATTCGAGAATTAATTAAAGAGATTGACAAATATTTATTCTGTTACAGCAGAAAAACTATCGTAAATGAATGTAAATTTAGAATTGGTTAGCTGAAGTGATAGCAGTTGTGGTTAGATGATGATAACTGAAAAAAATCGAACTGTTGGTTCACTTCCCGAGCTCCTAAGTGCACAGATATCAAAAGGTTGATGAACTAATCAGCAAAAAGCTGTTATTTACTCAATCGAATAACATGTAACACAATAAAATGCTCCTTATACAGATTTTATGCTGATCAGCGAGTCGATTCTTGTGATTTCCCAAAAACCTACCCACTCCACCAGGTTCCAATCTGAGCGTAATCATCATTACAGAAATACGGGTACACCCAGTTCACAAGCACCGAACTGAATGAAATGCTCTTCTTGGATTCTAGTCCTAGTGACAATTTAATTTTAATAAGAAGTTGGGACTGATGCTAAAATATTTACTCCAGATTTATACATGCCAATAGAGACCAATCGGCTGAAGTTTTTAACACATTCATACAATCACCCATCTACGGCAATTCAAAAGTAATAGAAAATTCTTAATTATTACTAGACTTAAAGAGGTTAAATTTTTTGTTCACTTAGTTGTTTGGAAACTGAATAGATAGTTCGGAGATCATGCAAAAAGTTATAAAGCGAACGACAGTCTCCGATAGCTTTTTGATCAGACTCTATAGTAGTATACCTGAATTACTTACTTACTTCCTTACGCCTGTTACCCCCAATGGAGCATAGGCCGCCCAACAGTTTTCTCCAGTCAACTCTGTCCTGGGCTTCCCTTTCCAGTTCTGTCCAATGTTTGTTCATTCCGCTCATATCTTTCTCGGCGTAATGTTTTCCTTGGCCTTCCTCTTTTCCTTTTGCCTTGAGGATTCCACGTGAGGGCTTGTCTTGTCATGCAGTTAGGTGCTTTTCGTAGTGTGTGTCCCATCCACTTCACCGTTTCTTCCTGATTTCCTCCTCCACTGAGTATACCTGAGGTTATTGCTATATTATTAAAGTATCAAAGTTGGGTCAGTCCATGTTTTGAACTGAAAAGGGCAGATTTCATGCTGACTGATTGGAATAACCTAATAATAACTTTGGATTTATAGCTGTTGAACCTGGATGTAAAAGTGATGGAAGACGATCATTTGATTTGGTACTATTTGTTCACAATTTAAATGGTAAGCAAAGACTTCTGATCTGTTTTGAAACTGTTACACTTGTCAAAATGTTATAATGAACGTCAAATACGCTGACTTAAACTGTTGTCTCCAATCAAACTAACGGAAATTCGCTGTTTGAATCATGTCAATTGTGAAATTTACATTTATATGATAAAAATATGTTCTTTCATATATTCGCGCTTCTTTGTTTTACTTTAAGAATTAGTTCTCAAATTGAACGGATTCAAATATTTTATCAAGCTCCAATCATAAGATTTGTTTATAATACAGTAAGTTAAAGTCATCATTTCTGTATCGTTTTACACAGTATATAGAGAAACCATTTTTGAGATGGAATTACGAATATTGTCTAAATCCGTCAGCTTCTTCGGTTCACAGTATATTCAAGTCATGGTTGATACACTCATGAGTTTCATAACGTATAAAATATGTAATGTTATCTATTTTTCAGAATGTGAAGGCGTATAACTTGTATCCATATAAACTTATTTAGTCACTAAGGGACCGTTTTACACTTTAATAATCAAAAACACTGAGAGAAAAGACCGAAATCACACAGAAAGCTCCATTCCCGAAAGCTGATCAATTCTGCAGATGATTCATATCTATATATGATTAGCTAGACTGATTCAGAATGTGACAATCAAGTGATAACTTTGGTTAAGTGAATAACCCACTTAATGAAAATAATCTGACCATATTTGTCAGATGCTTGTTATTAAAACTTGAATTGACAGATCTGTTCGGCCTTTAAAGATTTTAGATAGTACTCATTCGAATTATGGAGCCTGAATTGAGTCTCGTATCCGTATTTTCCGTCACTACCGAGCCGGGAGAGGGTAATTTTCGCGCCTGCTGCCATCCTTGGATGTAATAACCGTTTCTAAGTCTTCATATCCAGAATCGAACCCTGATTCGCCGTTATTCATCATGATTATCATGGGAGGCTAATCACCTATCAACAAATTGACAGGGCCGACCTTCTTCAGCAAGTCGATTCCTATTAAATTTAAAATTCACAGTTTTCCACAATCAGCTATATTAGATTTAAGTAAGAAGGATCAAAATAATATCATAATGTAAGGAAGTATAACAAACTTCAAAACCAATTCAAAAAGTAGACTATGATTAAACCAGACAGATATTAATCCCATAACAGAATTGAAATATTTATACAGATACAAAGCCGTAAATTGTTTGGTTTACAGCGACTACATTCTCAATATTCAACAGATAATTTGAAGCAGAATACTTGTTGAGCTATAGACCACTAAATTTGGCGCCAAAAATTTGAATCAAAGCATATGGAGAGACCTGTTAAGATTTGAATAACACACTTCACATGTACTGTGTTTTCGAACGTGTTAGTTTATTCATGTGACCATTTTTTTCACTTTAGTAAGAAATGTGATAATGAATGTATCTTCGACATCAGGTCGATATACTGAACGTGTCATTTGATCAGTTCGAAAAACCATTGATAATTGCTTGATTTCTCATTTAAAATCAAAACGTGACTTGAGTCTACAAATTAGGCCTTACTTTTAAAATCCGTGATGATGTGTTTGTTTCAGGAGGCCTATTATCTGTGATATTAAACCAAAAAGTTGTGCTTTTTTTAATTTAATTACGAATAAATATAACTAACTGGATTGGATTTCAGGTTTTTGCTTCCATAGTTTACAAAATGCACTTGCTCAACTGTTATGTCAGCCCTGTTAGTTTACTTGATAAAAGGATGAAATTCTCATCTCTATTCTTACGATCCGACATTACTATAAACAAAAGATGAATGAATGTAAATTCTCCATTTGATTCGGAAAAGTCTACTTAAGCTGACTTCCTCTGGACAAGGATGGTCATCAAAGGTCACGTACAAATTAAATTGGATGAATTTATTTCAGGGACTCGTTTACACAGACAAACATTAAAATGAGACGTTTAGAAGGTTGACGCTCTAATCTAATTTAATTTAAATGTGGCTCAACATTTAAACGTATGATAATTATAACAAAGTATCTAGGTAAATTGTATGATTGTGAACATATGCTCAAGGTCATGCAAACAAATGACCAAATGACCCGAAAGATTCGATTAATTCATTTACCTAAAAATAAGGACGAGTCGTGTAGGTGTGTAATTATACTCGTAACTACGATTCTTAACTCCATCTATCATCACTAACATTTAATAACTATGTGTTTGGTTCTTGTTGGCAATATTTACAATAAGTCAACGGGTTTCGTTATTATTACTTAATTATTAAAAAGTAGTCATTTACTTAGACCTCATCTATGCATCGCTTTTTTTGTTCTTTTCTCCTTTTTAGATATTCTATTTACTGTTCTTGATTGTCTTTAGTAAAACACTTTTAACATCGTTGACAGTGAGTTTCTCTTATTTGGATATTTTCACAACACTTATGGTTGGATCATTTCTATGTGAAGAGTTAAAACAGGTGAGTAAGTTAATCTTACTTTAGTAAATATAAATCCCATCTTAACATTAATAATAAGGTGTTCAGTAAAAGGATTTTTCTTCAACGAATTTAATATCCAGTTGCACAGACATATATATATATATATTTATATATTTATGAATGAGATTCTACAAATGAACGAACTCCGTTCTTGTATTTAACTATGCATGTATGGGTATGCTTGAATAGACTTAGTAGTAACTACAAAGATGCTCCACATTATATTCAGAAAGATTTGGGGGAAGAATAAATACGTACAGAGAGAAAAGAAGGATACCTCATCAAGATACCAGAGGAAGGCATTAGAAAGTCACAGAACTACAGATGCATCACTCTGTTATCAGTACCCGAAAAAGTCTTGAATAGAGCTATGTTGAACGGAGTAAGAGATTCAGTGGACTCACAACTCCCAGATTGATAGGCTACGTTCCGGAACAATCGATAGTGTAATGACCAAGTCACGACACTAAGGTTCATAAAACTCATCACTGTAAATCACATTGATTGACTACAAGGAGGCATTTGACAGACTGGACAGGATGATACTTCGGAGGCTTCTTCAACACTACGGCATACCTGAGAAGGTGGTCAACATCATATGGAATTCTTACAATGGACTACACTGGAAAGTCATGTACTGAGAGCAGCTCACGGACCCATTAAAAGTGGAGACCAGTGTCAAACAAGGTTCGTCACTCTCACCCTTTCTCTTTCTCCTTGTAGTCGACTGGATTATGAAGGCGTCAACATCACGGTGAAGCACAAAATACAGTGAACGGCTCAGATGCAGGTGGATGATTCAAATCACAATCGGTGGCGAGGCTTTGAGAGATGTGGACACCTCCAGGTACGCGTAGGGCATCATCATTGATAAAGAGGATGGATCTGATATAGGTGTCAAGGCGCTGATTGGCAAAACTACGGAAGCATTTCTTCAATTGAACAACAGCTGCAACTCAAAACATCTATCAACCAGCACCTAAGTCATTATTTTTAATAACAACGTCAAGATAATTCTATTGTATGTGGCGGAAACTTGGAGAACTTCGAAAAACAAGTGATAATTAACAGTTGTCTACGCAAGATAGTGAGGATCCGTCGACCAGACAACATCAACAAAAATCTACTGTGGGAGAGAAGAAACGAGATTCCAGTGGAGGAGGAAATCAGGAAGAAGCGCTGAAATTGGATAGGACACATATTACGGACAGCAGCCAACTGCCTCACAAGATATGGAATCCTCAAGGCCAAAGGAAAAGAGTTAGAATAAAAGGACACATAACACCGAGAATTGAAGGCAGATACGAATAGGAGGAATAACAATTGGGAACAATTATTTGATGTTCCGAAATCTCTTCCCAATTTGAAAGAACTAGTGAATGTGCTATGAAATAAATATTTACTTTAATTTACGTATATTACATTTTAAATGAATCGGTTTGTGAAACGGCGGTAATTAGAAGCCCAATACGGTTTATTTTGGATTACTATATTTCATGCATTTGTGTAAGTAGACAGACAATAGATTGCTAAACGTACAGGTGAAGTGAAGCAAAGTGAAGCAGAGAAGGTGAGTGGGTAAACCCGATGTGATGAGGCAGAACTAAGTATTTGTAGTCAGATTAAAATAAGCTAGACTGAAGCAAACAGTGCACGCATTTATCCAAGTAAAAACAACCGAGGTTACAAGCAAATAATTGATTAGGCTGAAAGACGTGTGCAAAGTGGACTAAGTAACGAGCCATGTGGGCTCTATATTTTATTATACATGACAAGTGGAAAAGAAAACTCGGTACATAGTCGTTTGGAGATTGCTGGTCATCGTCTCTTGCTCCATTAAGGGTAACAAGCGTATGTTACATAGTGTGTGCTTGAAAATGCATGTATGCGTGCTAATGAAGAGTCCACTGGTACGGTGAAATAAATGGTCGGTGTTTTTGGTTCCCGGTGATCGAAAAATTTAATCTCTTCGACTCCATATACTAAAAAATATAATATGGTTGTCATTAACTGCGTCCTACAGTTCCAGTACGAAGCCAAGATCAACGGAGATATGAGACAAAAGTATCATCTTTGGTAATGTATGATAGTTACTTAATACCCCAGTATCACTGGATTTAGAAGCATCACCCATCGAATACCGACTCAGTGTACCGGATGTAAAGTACTTGTAGTTGGGTCAGAAAATCTTCGGTTCATTTCCCGATGGAATCATTGATTACCACTATCTCAGAGTCCCACATTATTACGAAATAGCTGTTCAGTTGTCAAACTAATTTCAGTTTTTGACGAAAATAAAAAAAAAACTATAAAAATTAACTGAAGAACAAACATAGAAAGATTACAATGCTGACTGTATAGCGAAATTTCTTGAAATTTGATTGATACCTTTTAGTATTACAAACACAAACAGACAATTTGTTTGCCTTATTAATATTTACATAAATGGCATTTGATTTTCTAGACTGTATAGATTTTCTGTCTTTTCAATGCCATCAAATGTATTAGCTTGCAGAAAAAGTAAGTTACAAAGTATTTCCAAACTACTCAGTTAGCTTACCAGCAAAATCAATGACATTTGAAAGTTTTCACTTTTAGATTTAAACATAACATCAACTGTTGACTTCATCAAGTTCAGTTGACTGACAAACTACAACTGTTGCTTATTTACCACGCAAATTTAAATCTTTCAGATTTAATTCATTAGAATTTTCAGAACTAATCCTTGATGAATAATTCAAAATATTCTAAAAATGAAATCGTTATTGTTAACTTGTGTTGGCCAGTGTCTCACTAGTTTTGGTGATGGTCGGTATCCGATGTGTTCTTAGACTTCATATGTTGCTCGTCCAGATAACCGTTATTAAATAGCGCCTTACGGTTTATTTACTTGGCACACTACAATTAGACCAGCAGACCACAGGCACACAAAGATAAAATCAATATACGAGTGCAGGAAGGCAAGTAAGCGACTGAGCGAATTAGCGAATGAATTCATAAGATTAAAATGTACTTATACATACATAAGGAAATGTCAAATCATCGAGATATTTAGGAGATTAACATTAAATCGAATAGAATGAATATGCTCGTAGGTGGTAAGCAATGTTCAGGCGTACCATCTCAAACAAACCCGACAATAATCAAATCCAGTGCTATACTAATGATTTGGTTAAATAAGTTAATCAAAAGAGCTGAATCAAATTAAATATGAACAAGCTCAATTGTATATGGAGATACGACAAACTGTTACTTTTTATTCAATAAATTATATCCCTATTTCATTTTTCTTTGTTATTACAAAATGTTTTAATTTTTTTTAATAGGCTTTCGGTCCTGGTTCAAGTTTAAAAGAGTACATTAGTGATGGTTGGAATAAATTAGATTGTCTTGCAATCAGTTTATATATTATTGGTTTAAGTGTTAAAATTCATGCTTATTACAGTTTAATACGTGAACAAATTCATGAATTAGAAATTAATAATTTATTTGATATATCCAATTTCTCATCAACATCATCATCATCGTTATTGTTTAATCAAACTGATATTTATAATTTATTGAACATTTGTCAAATGGATCAATGTAATTTAACAAGCAAATCATTCAATTTATCCAATGAACAAATTCATATTATTCAATCTATTTTAACAATTAAAAATTTACCAATGTTTAGTGGTTCTGGGCATTCATTAAATCAATGGACTCCAGATTTACCATATCATATATTATCGAATGATTTATTCACAACATCACGTATATTTTTTGCATTCAGTTTATTTGCATTCTATGTACGACTGATGTATATTTTTAGTTTTAGTATTGTACTTGGACCAAAATTAATTATGATTAATAGAATGGTGAGTTTTTTTTGAAGGTTTAATTTCAATAAAAGTTAATATTATCAAATCTATCAATGTTCTTGGATGAATGTGCAAATGAAAAGTTAATTGAAGTTAGAATGTGTCTGCCCGTGATGTCTGATAAAACATAGGTTTTGTTTAAATAAACAAATTGCATTGCTGGGTTGTTGTGAAGATTGTTAAGTTTTATTTGGAAACATGAATCGATCAATGTTAGATCACCATTAGAAACTTGGAAGCACTGGACGGCCGTTTCATCCTGCTATGTGACTCATCAGCAGTGCGCATCCACGACTCCTGCACCCCGCAGGGTCCGAACCCGAGACCATCGACACTGTGCGCGAACGCCCTAACAATCTTCACAACAACCCAGCAACACAAATACATGTGCTCACTAGTGACTAGCTTCGTGAGGAATCTTCTCCGAGTTCTAGTGGGAAGTCGTGACCTGTGAAGTTCAAACCTGTTCGGATGTATATAGTGTATGAGGTTGCGCAACTCCGTGAATTTGATCAAGTTAGACATTAGCACCGTTAGATACCGGCTCAGTGCTCTAACGGTTAGGGCGTTCGCGCACAATACCGAAGTCCCTGGATTCGAATCCTGCGGGGTGCAGGAGTCGTGGATGCGCACTGCTGATGAGTCACATAGCAGGATGAAACGGCCGTCCAGTGCTCCCAGGTTTCTAATGGCGGTCTAACATTGAACGATTCATGGCTTCAAATAAATAAACAAACACTTTATGAATGGTACACTCTTCGAAATCTGAATTAAAGAACAGTTAAAGTGTGATAAATGTATTTTCTTGTCAGAAGACTATCATCAACATTGCTTGGTGATGAGCTAACAAAAAGTGTCGATTTATAGCCGCTGAAAGTTTATGGCGGTTAAAGGATTTTATAATTTACATTGAGGGTTTAGAGGTGAAAGGCTCAGCGCAAAACCTCCAGTTCCTGTGTTCATTAACCTGTCGTGGGATCATGGAAATGCATAGCGTAATAGTGAGAACACTTGTCCAATACTTTTTTGGTTTTAAAAATTGTTGAATTAAGAATAATCTGTGGTCACGTTAATGTAAAGGGATTTCAACTGGTTATTAATAGGATTTCTGAATAAATTCTCTCAATTAAAGTTATGGATATCATTGTTTTTACACACTGAAATCATGAATCAATCATTGTTAGATCACCGTTAGAAACCTGGAAACACTGGACGGCCGTTTCTTCCAGATACAGGACTCATCGACAGTGTGCATCCACGATTCCTGCTACTCGCAGGATTCGAACCGAGGACTTTCGGTCTTGCGCGCGAACACCTAACCTCAAGACCATTGAATAGTTAGTAATCCATAAGTCTCTATCGGAAAAAAAACAATCCACTAACTGGATTGTCACAGTTCAGGTCAACTTAATTTACAGGAATGAACAGAAGTAAAATGCGAAATTTCTATTCTTCCATTCGATCAACATTAAGTCAGTCTTTACTATGTCTAAATAAAGCACGGACAATAACTGAAACAGAATTATGTTAGCATGTCCTAACACTGACTAATACGCATAAACAACCTTTTGCAACTAATATACAAATAAAGACAATAAGATTGATATTTTGTGCTTGACAGTTGACCCAATATTGACTATTCCCGAATAAAAAGGAAAAACTTAAGACCGGTAATTACCAGTCCAAGATCATTAGTATATTTTGAACATTCATTTATAAACACACAAAATCAGACCATTCAGCAGACTAATAGAGTAACAATATTAACATGGAACAATCTCAATGATGATGGGTAAAACAGAGCACTCTGTGAACACAAATTATCAGCTCTGGTATATTAATGGTAAGGGCTTGAGAAACAAAGTACGGTTCGGATAAAATTTTGGGACCTGAGTAAAACGAAACTACTGAATAAATATACAATCATTATAACGAAATAAAACTTTAGGAAAATAAATTCTAAAGTCCTTTTTTACCCTATAGTTAAATCGTCTCTTACAATAAAAACGAATCAGCTAGTATTTCATGAGTTCTCATGAGCTGTTCATAATGTTCTGTTTCAGTTATGGATCTTGTTTCATTCTGTTTTATAGAAGAAAGTGATTGTATGAAAATCTACTGTCTTATATTTCCCTATTATGTCATTAAGTTAAGAATAACAATTTTCCTACTTGAAATTGATACGATTTTGGTCAGTGCTTAAGACACAGTAGTTGTAGTAGTAGTAGTAGTGTTTGCTGAAACACTTTCAAACGAGAAACTAGTTCAAATACTTGTGTGGCGGATACTTCCCTTGATTTGGCGCCTAAATAACATGCAGCAGACTGTCACTCAAAAGTCACAATCGGAGAGACGTGTATCAGACCGGAATGTACGACGTGAACAAACTGTTCTGAAGGCCAGGAGACTCATTAAGGATAACAATTAATAATTTGCTCGTTTCGCAAATAAATTTCTGAAGATTAAAGTATACACATTTTTTTAGTAAACTATGTCTTTTGTAAAGATACAACTATTCTATCTGGTCTTGATGTGTTCGTTCATTAAAACTGTACAAAAATTGATCTGTAATTTAATAATTTCAGATCTTGCCTAATGGAAGTTTTGTGAAGACTGATCTAATTTTTTGGTGGTCTTGTCAAATTGTTTGAAGCTTAAATTGTGCCGACTCGGTGTTTTCAATAATTAAAGATTAGCAGCAAAACCTAATGGTCCTGGATTCGATCCACGGAGGCTTTAAGGATTTCATTGCCTCGATAACTGTCCTCAATGGTACTTCAATTAAGATGAATCTGTAGTGCCTACACATATATTCGAGTTCGCTTACATTTAATTTGGTTAAGCCCTTTTGATTAGTTTATTTAACCAAGCCATTTATATTGCAACAATTTATGTATACCATTCGTTCTTATTATTGTCCGGTTTGTATAAGCTCACGTGAATTGTCCCACTTGTCATTTGACCTTGTCAACCATTCGTCGCTTTTATTCATGTGTGTACATGCCTATCTCGTTGATCACATGTCTGTCTGATTTTTATCTGATTGTATATTCTTAGTCAAGCTCTATCTGTTGAAGTCGGCTCATTAGCCTTCTCCAACGCGCTCCACCTGTTCATTCGCTTCCTTCGCCCATTCGTTCTCATTGTTATCCTAGGAGTTGACTCAACAGCCTTCTACAATTCACGTCGCTCCCTTTCATTTTATTCACTGCTTCTCCGCTTCGCTTTGTAGTGTGTCTCAAATAAACGTGTTCATCAGTACGAGTTTACCTTCTGATTTTTAAACTGTCAGACGCTATTTAGTAGCGATTGTCTAAACGAGCTAATTAAGAAGATTAAGAACACATGCAAAATCGGCTACCACAAATCTGTAACAATTATAAATCTACAAATTTCAGTACTTATCACGTTAAATGAAAACTTAGTTAAACAACTATGTATTATGATTTATGTTTGTTTTTTTTATTCCTAAATAATAATATCAGGTAGTTCATGATCTCTTACCATTTCTACTGATTCTTTTGGTATGTCAAATTGGCTATGGCATTGCATTTCAATCAATTTCATTCGCTAATGGATACTATAGTGATTATGAACAAGAAAGAATGAGTAAGTTTATCATGAAAAGAATAATTAGTTGAGAGCTGAATATTTCAGAATGATTAATCGTGCACATCCATGACTCCTACTACTCGAATGATTCGAACTCAGGACATTCGGTCTTGTGCACGTGAACGCCTAATCTCTAACAATGATTGATTCGCGATTTCCATAACTCTAATTGAAAGGTCGTACACTGTGCTCACAAGTGAATAGCTTCGTAAGGAAGTTCTCGAAGTTCTAGTGAGAAGACGTGACCAATGGTGTTCAACCTTGTGGAATGTAGGCAGTAACTACCGACATCAAGCAAGTGAGTAGTTGAAAATCCCTAGAGTGGTCGGAGTTAGACATGAACACCTTTGGATGCCGTCCGAGTGGTCCAGAGGTCAGGCGTTCTCGCACAAGACCGAAAGGTCCTGGGTTCGATTCCTGCATATGGAGGTCATGGATACCCACTGCTGATGTTTCCCATACTAGGATGAAACCTCCGTCCAGTACTTCCAGGTTTCTTATGCTGTTCTAACATTGATCGATTCATGACTTCAATGAAATAGTAAAAATTACAAATAATTTATACCGCATATGAATACACTTTAGTAATCTTACATTCGCTGAGTTGGATAGTTTAAATGAAATAATTTTTTTTTCATGAATATTCCGGACATTATTTCAAATATCTAGAAAATGAAATTGAAAAAAACTAGTTCAGAGAATTCGATACATTTAATCGGAATATATTTTTTAATACGTTAACATATGACTTTTTTTACTGAAACAAAGCAAATGTTTCATGCAATTTATGAAATGAATTTTAAAATCAACTAATCAGAGTGCAAATATGTACATTTAAATATATTTTACACAAATATATTATTAATGAGATGTGCATTTAGGGTTGATTTGAAAACTTAACATTGAATTTGTTGAAAGATATTTCAACTAAACCGTTACTCTGTGTATGCACAATGAGATGTCATAACTCTACTGAATGAAGACCCTCTAACTCTCGGGATAGAGTTTAAATGGCTTGAATTATTTTTGCTGGTTAGCGTATTTTTAGCGAGCTAGCTTTCTACGGGATGGGGTCGCTAACCCCATTCCCAATCCTTCTCTTTTATCCTGACTTGGGACCGGCAGTAGTCCCAGAGGGGGCTCCAGGTGGAGTTACAATGGTTTAGTATTCATAGTGTTTCTTAACATGGTAGGGATGACTATAGGGACGAAGAAATCGATAAACTTAGTTTGACTACCACTTTAATGTCACCTAACTAAACTTAAACTTTGAAATCAAATTCAAATATGGTAGAATGTTATTCCTCTTTCTTTAAAACTATTATGAAATATATCTATCGATTAATTGTAAAAGCTTGACTTTATCTTTTGTCAGTGTTTAAGACTGAATTGATCAGTCTTCATCTACACATGACCGCTATGAATACGTCTCGATTCCTTTCTGACACTAAGTTAGCTATTACTTCAGTGACTAAAAGTAGCTATCGATAAAATAATGCTACGCTGCTATTACTGATTATAATTGAAAGGACTAAGCCCATGATTTCACATAGGCTTAGACACTGCATGAGCGATTATGTCATATCCCATTGCATTTATCAGTTTACATGTTTGTGTAGAGAGAGAGTAATGGGATAATGAAATCAAACCTGACTGGCTTCAGAATCAAGTAAATGACCTAATGAACGTTGGAAATTGGGAACCAGGTTCAGTGATAGCAAAAGAACGAAGACGAGGCATAGGATTGACATCAAAACAGCTTTAATAACATTGTATAGAAATCATTAAGGACGAGTTCTTAGATTGATAGAAGCCTTGGCAATTCGCAAATTAATCTCCCCTCTTGTGTGTACAAAAACAACCTAACGTAAACTTGAATTTACCTTGGTAATTTTCAAGCCATTGTATGGCCTTGAGTAGTGCAACAGTTTCCTGTCCTTTTCATACTTTGTTAATTTTCTCTCTCCTTTGTTTACAATGATCACATTATGTTTATTTGAACTTTTATTTAATTGACCTTTATTAATTTCCATATAAAATACCCTCACAAGTATATCTGTGACCAGAATTTTCGAAATGTATAGCGCAAATACATCATATTTTTCAAATCAACTATGGCTTCTCATAATCAGATTTTATAAATCTTTGATTTTTAAAAGATATTACTGAAATCATAAATCAATCATCGACAGATCATCATTAGAAACCTGGAACTACCGGACGGACGTTTTGCCCTAGTGCGTCAAGGACTCCTACCACTCGTGGGATTTGAACCCAAAGCCTTCAGTTTTGAGTGCGAACACTTAACCTCTGGACCACTGGGACGGTATCCAAAGGTGTCTAACTCTGATCATTCCAAGAATTTTGCACGACCTCACCCATTTCTTGTCGGTAGTTACTGCCTACACTCAACAAGGTTTAACACCATTAGTCCTGTCTTCTCACTAAAACTCCGAGAATTTCCTTACGAAGCTAGTGAGTACATTGTACAATTTTTCATCATGAAGTTGTTGAGATTGTTGTTTATCTCTGAAATCATGCTGATCAGTTCCATACCAAGATGAAACGGCCATTCATTGCTTCCAGGTTTCTAATGGATTCATAATTTCAGTAATAAACAACAATCTCCATAACTCTATAATGAAAAATTTAACGCATAGTTGTTACACTTGAAAAATCAATGATATAACTTGACAAAAGATAGAAGATTAATACAATGCATGAGAATTTTTTTCCAAACACTATGAATAGAATACAACTTAGATTTTAGTTTAGTTTACATTCTGTACTGACATCCATTTATAGTGAAGTTTAGAATAAATTAAACTGATTAACTTTTTACACTGACTATTCATTAATGCTACTGTATAAACATTAATTACAAGTATCGTAAGGTCAAAATTTTAAAGTTGAACATTGTAAAATTTGATCAATTGAATTATGAGTGTTTGCTCCTTCTTGAGAGAAATTCAAATTCATGATTCGTGAATGGTGTGTCGAGTACATAAGACCTAGTCGCACCAAATAATGGGGTATTAAGTTCCAGTTTGAATGTAGTAAACATCAAATTAAGAAAAAACAAGGTCATAAACTAAGTTTCATATTCATTCACTACTTAGACCAGTATGATGTTAACATTCATGAGTAGCGGCCTATTAGTTTAATCTTTGATGTTAAAATGCAATATATCTGATCAAGTCACAATGTGGTCACTAGTCTTAGTGACTGAATATTGAATGCTTTGATCGATTTGATTTGTTGGTTAGAGGCAATCTGGATGAAGTTGTGGAGCCAAACTTCACATTATTCCTCAGTCTTATCCCTAGTTTGGACTAAGTTTTACTACTGACAAGATTCCAACACATATTGATCATAACCAAGAACAAGTTAAATGTAGCACCACAGTCTATCCGTAGATTAAAGACAGCACCATTATAAGTCATTTATTGTATTAAATTTCTTTATTGTTACCAATAAGCTTTAGATTAATCTCTTACGAAAGTAAACTTCCGTAATTTTAACTTTGTTGGTGAAAGTAATCATTTTTGTAATCATGAATCGATCAATGTCAGACCATCGTTAGAAACCTGGAAGTATTAGACGACCGTCCCATCTTAATATGCGACTCATCAATAGTGCGCATCTACGACTCCTGCCACTAGCAGGATTCGGACCCACGAACTTCACCTAACCTCTGGACCACTGAACCAGTATCTAAGTAATCTTTAATTTTTGTAAGAACCTCAAGTTTCCTTCATTCGTTGAATAGTTTAAAGTGACTAAGTAATTGACTTTACTAACATTCAGTTTGTTTGTTTTTTTCACGCGCATTCTATTACTTTTTCATACATTTTAATTCTTGAAATAAATTACCATTTATTTATTGGTTTTTTTAACGCTTAAACCTACTTTGACACAATGAGATATCGATCACCTTAGTTAATTTGCTGCTTTCCTTGTTGTTATTGTTACTACCACTTCTACCACTACAACAACTACTACTACTCCTTAGCGTCTCACCATAGTTGTGAATCTAGAAAATTAAACTTTTTTAATTCCTCACTGAATATCTACACCAAATTTCCATTTAGGTACATTTGTTTATGTAATATTTATGACAGCTGAATGGTAATAATGACACTTAGCCTTTGATTTTTGTTTAACAAATACGCCTATTTGAATAGTATTTAACTTACAAGTTTGATTTTTGTTTCTTAAAAAAATTTGTCGATAGTATTAATTGACATGCAATTTGCAAAATTATTAGTCCAGATATCAGAGTTGATTTGTATTCACAGTAAGTGTTGAGTGTAACTGAATCCAGTCAAATGGAGATCTCTGTTAGTACACTTCTCTTAGCTTAATATTTATGTCTTGAGTAAAATAAAGAGTTTCTAGTTTATAAGAAAATACTAGTTAGGTTGATATATAAGTACGATAAGTATTCGACATAAATATTCCTTTCTATATGAACTGTCAGTAAAATTGATATCTAACTGAGTGTACTTTCGTTAAGTGCTCACTAGATTTCTCAACAATGAATAAAATTTACCTTTTCCATGAGTAGGTCCTCATTCTTCAGTCGCCTGAATCACAAGGTGTGTTCACATTATTTTCTGTATGGGATTTTCATGTTCTTTATCATTAATTTTGTACACAATTTTAACAAGTGAATAATTCTTCTGAATATTTCATCATAACAAGTTGTATTTGCATTTGAATTTAATTCAATATAGCTATAAATTCAACATATCAATTTAAACCTGGTATACGTAGTGTTTATGATGCATTTATGACATCCTATTTTCAAATGTTGGGTGAATTTCGTTTAGATGATTTAGCTGGAGATGGTAAGCGATTCAAATGATAATAATAATAATAATAATAATAATAATAATGACAATAAATTCTGAAAATAATCATTACAGAATTCATGCTAGTTTTGCAGGCATCGTCACATCTTGTAGTAAGTAATGTAAGGTATCAGTCAGAAACGATTAACTGTTTTCAACAAAACATCCTATCACTCATTATATGGACGGTGTATCTGGTGTTCTTTCCAGTGACATAAGCCATTGGTTATAATCATCTAGAAATAGGGCACAGAACAACAAAAGCTATAGCTATAGCTCAAAGTTTCTGCATAACGAATTACTTTATCGGAAATAAAAGATGACTCATTAAGCATTTATAAGAAAAAGATCAGATAAAATTTAAGTTTCCTCTTCCATAAAGGGTCGACTCCAGGCTTATTACATTTGGATTAATAGTCTAACGTACAAACAGTTTCAAGAACGTGAAGTGTAAATCGTCTTTGAACGGATTCCAGACTTAATTTATCCTTTATGCAAACACTGCTGGGAATAAACATACAGTATTTTAGAAGTGGTCGAACATATAGTGTGTACGTTAGAATACGTGATTCATAGTTATGGAGATTACGAATTATGCAACGCAGAAAAATTTGAAACTTGGAGATCTGTTTGGATACCTTTTCTGAGAAGGAAAAGTTATAGGAGTACTTCAGTTCTCAGAACTCTACTGTATCAATTTTCGATAACACTTTACCATTTATGGCTTAGGTCTAGGTTAAGTAAAGAACTGTCAAAGCAAACTCCTTCCAATTTGAGCAACACTGGACCGTTTGATTTACCTGCGAACTGGTGCAGTTTTGCATACTGTTCAGATGAGAATGAATGCACTACTTGAAAATCATGTACATATAGAAGAGGCTTATCTCAACCCTCACAATCATAAATATCATGAAAGATATTTGGAGAATTTGTAAGAAGAGGTGACCAGTGAAGTTCAACTCTGTCGCGTGTAGGCAGTAACTACCGAAGACACTGGCTAAGGTTGGTCATAGTTAGACACTAATATCCGTTGGATGCCGGCCTAGGGGTCCAGGGTTCGAACACTGGGAGTAGCTGTGGTCGTGGATGCGCATTGCTGATGAATCCCTAACCAGAACGAAACGACCGTCCAGTGCTTCCAGGTTTCTAATGGTGGTCTAACAATGATCGTCCCACTATTTCGTAACAGGTGTAAGCTAGGTTTAAGAAATTTGAATGTTACTGCAATTTTAAACTACTAGATAACTTTTTAAAGTGGTAACTTCATTTCTTAGAATCACAAATATATCTCCTGATGTTTTACATGTTAACTTACACTTGAATAGGTCACCAGGTTAATAATATTCTAAGATAAATATTAAATTATCTCAAAATAAACTTAACAACTGTTTAGTATACTCTCATAAAGTATATTATATGACTGTGATGAATCTGTGTTTATAAAATTGTATTTCTATACCTATAAAAAACTAGAATATAATGACTTTTTATTTTGATACTTCATATAGGTTCATCATGTCGTGACAATGGATTATGTCCACAAACTTCATCACGTCGTTTAACAATAATTATGTTAAGTGCATTCATTTTATTAACACAAGTGCTTATGTTCAATTTATTAGTTGCAACATTTACGTAAGTTTTGAAAATTTATAAAAAAAACTGAAAACATTAGACCTCTGTGAATTGTTTTGAATGTTGTATTGTTAAGAAAGCAAGTTCATTTAGCAGTGCACAGTTAAATTCAGTGTATGATTTTGGTAGAGTTCCGTTCTGTGAGCAAGGATGTTTTGATTGTGGAGCTTTCATTGTTCTTCTTCTGAATAACATCATCAGCAAAAAACTTCAGATTGAAGTGAAGTACTCGAGTTTTACCACGTATGATCCATAGTTTGTTCTGTTAACCTCGATCTTGAATGGTTGTTACTGACCTTAAACCTATCATCCAGTAGAGATAACAGAATCCACCATCTTAAAATTATTGTTTGAATGTGATTTATCGATATAAATTCAGTTAACAGTGGTTAACAATGAAATCTAACATCCTAGCATCATTCTGTTTTTGGGGTTGTGATTTTTTATGCTCAAACAAGATGATTGATATTCAGTTAATTTACCTGAGCTTTTTAGACGTCAATAAAGATTGATGAAAAGTCAAATCTAAATATTGACAGTAGAACGATACAAACTATTGTGGATAGATTATAAACATAAATGCTGGTCATATTTTAACGAATTCTATCCAGAAACAATTCTACTAAAAATCTATACAGAAAACTAATAGAACGAAATCATATCTGAGCGTATATATTTAAAGTGTTTCACTACATGATACAGCCTAATCAGTTCAGTAAACACGGCATTTTTAGTGAAAGAAGTTTGTGGAGATTGTACAGTTTCATTAGTTACACCATGAACTAGTCTTCTTCAGACAACCATTTAAAACCAGCTATATCGTGTTGGTATGAGACTACAAGACAGCGCACAGCTGAGGTCGGTGTTACACTCGTTTCGAAGTATGCTTAAACTATTACAGGTTCACGTTAGTCGAATAACAAGAACAAAACAATTAACCAGTGTCCAGGTAGGTTACTGTGACCCAATTGTCCCAATCGTACCAGCAAGAAGTCTTGATATAGAGTAGAAAGTGTATTCTACAAACACACAGCAAGCACACAATCAATCCAAGCACTCAAATTCCGTTTATTTACACTCCATAGAGACGTCTCTGGGATAGTCGCAAAAGCAGCACATTAAAATGACACAGTAACCAATCAGAACAGTCAAGGATTTTCCTGTTGGGAAATGTGATCTCAAGGTCAACTGATCGGTCCATGAATTAAATCCAAAATAAAGACATTTATCAAATGAGTTCTGGGGATCTAACATCCCCAACAGTCAGTAAATTATGTAAACTATGAAACAAAACTTTATTCAAGATGCCACATTCACTACACATGTGTCTACTCCTACATTGAACATTATCTTTGTAAGGTTATTTTTTCATTTAGTTAAACTGAATGTTTTCTTGTTTAATTTCAATTTCAAAAATGGCGATTTACCGGGTATTTTACTGTTGATATTAATATTTGAGCAAATCAATCTTTCTCCTCATTGAAGCAATGACTTAACACTGAATTTGTCTAATTTTTAGAAGCTTAGTGTGATTATTTCAATAGACTGAATAACTTAGCCACCCATCGCTGATTACGGAACTTTACTTTTGTATGAAAAAAAGTAAATGTCATTCCTATTGTAGTTATGGTATCTGTTGATTGATACTATCATTGAATAAAAACAACTTAATGTGGATTACAAGCTGTAACAAACTTGTTCTCTTTTAAAAGACCCTACACAGGTGTTTACAATCTTACTTAAGAGAGGAGGTACAGATGGAGATTAGTTTAACACTGAGGACAACAACAAATTTTTGTATTGTTGTCCATCGTACTAATCTCTTCGAGATAGTAATCATTCTATGTAATCTGTTGTTTTTATTTGTTTGTAAAAAGACAATTGAGTAGTGACTGATTTTCAAACTCCCTTCTATGTAGATTGCATCCTATTGTTACAGACATAAGAAACTGCTTAAAAATACAATCATTTTCTCTCGTCTATGATTTTCTGAATATATTTGTTGTAGGATTTTCTCATAAAGTATAGTTTCTGAAAGGAAAGGCAGAATGTTTTCATCACTAACACTCTCTGGTAGTTTAGTCAATCAAATCTAACGATGAATTGCAAAAGTGTATACTTCTGAGAAAATTTGTAACACAATTCAAATTATGTTTCTTTATTAGAAAACACATGATCAACATTATAGTTTGATTCTAGACATGATTACGCAGATATCTGGGAAATAATCAACCTCAATGCGGTATTGAAGCTCTTATTCTTTTATATATTACTTTAATGCTACATGGAACATAATGCAGTGTTTAATTTTTCACTAATTATGCCATGTAAGTTTTATAAAATGGATCTTCCAGATGTATGAGTCATAATTTAGAATTGATGAGTTCTAAAGTTAGCTTAAAACACCTCGAAAACTAAGCTATAGTGAACAGGTATTGATACGAATTCTCAGAATAATCAACATTGGAGATTTATTTAATTATTCTGATCAGTTTTCTGATTGTGTTGCCATAAATATCGTCTGGCAAGCTATCGGGTATCTAAAAATGATTTTCTCAGTGTATGACGTGTTCATGTTGAAAATGAAAGATACCGCATTCAAGTCCCACCATGATTATCAGCCATTAGATAAGGATATCTCGAACTGATTTGTTCCAAATAAGATGGAACTCCCATTCTCAATACTCCTATTTCTCCACTCTTCCACGGTGTGAGTAGCCGGTAAGTGACATCCACCGTCATACCCGTAACAACGTGCGAGACCAAATTGGTCACAAACAAGTCCTTAGTACTCCTCCTAACATCTCTCTGATCTCCCCGAATAACTTTTCTCACATTCCATTATCACCCACGTACGACTAATGCAAACAATGCAAGTTCATGAAACGTTATTCCTGGTCTCCTGAAACCCCTTTCTAAACTACATGTTGGAGTACTTAATGTACGGACATTGTGTCAAATAGGGCAACGGGCTTCGTTAGCTAAGACTTGAGAATCTCGCTCGATCGATATATGCTGCGTCTTGAAAACGCGCAGGATCCTAGTAAATTTGATTTCACCTTATTAAAACAAAGAAACAGCCCGATTTACTCTTCGTGTATCCGGTAGCCCTGATGCTGCTTCCCGGGGTCTCGTTGGTGTAGGTATAGCATTGAGAACTAGCTCTCTTAGACTGGATCCCTGTAAATAGTCGCTTATTCGCTGCCCGACTAAACGGGACAGTAAGGACTCGTAAAGATAAGGACACTCGCTATTGCCTTACTGAAGTATACTTCTCAAATCATATCTTCGAACCCTAGTCTTCTCCATTACCGCTAACACTTCTACTACCTCTACTACTATGGGCTTTGAACTGACATTTGCGTCTCTGTGCTGATGAGGTATGGCAACCTAATTTTATATACCCATCCACGAAGTTCTACGCTGTAACTGACTGACTAATATTTCTCACTATTCATTTCTGAGAAAAACTTGTGATTAAATTTCATTATCGAAGTAATTCTCTCGGAATGTACATTTACTAGTAGATAATAATCAGCCAGTTGCATTCTTCAACATTAACAACATCGAAATGCAAACATTTACAAATAACTATACGATGATTTTTTTTCAGTACATGATGAAACTTTAATTTATGAACGGATTTAAGATAATGAGTCTCATGCATACGACTAAACATCAATTTGGCTGATGAAAACCCAAACTTTAATTCCCAACCCTAACTTTTTAAACTTTTACTTCCAATGTTAACTCCTCACACTATTTTATAACCTTTTTCCGACCCTGGTAAGTAAATAAATTGTCTCAATTTCATTAGGCTGTCTATAAATTAGAGTCTCAATCAATGCCTTTATAAGCAGTACACATTTATCACTCAGTAGTTAACTTAAACTACATATTACATTTCATTTCTTTGTTTTTAATGATTTTTTTTTCATCGATTTTTATTCAAGTTCAACATATAATGAAATTGAAGGATCAGCACAATATTTTTGGTGTTATCAACGTTATGAAATGATTCAAGAATTTGTTGATCGACCATCAGTTGCAGCACCATTTATGTTACTTTGGTATTCTGTTGAATTTACTGGATTTTTATTCAGTTTAATCGGTGGTACTTTATTTGATCATGCTATGGAAGATATTAAAGATGATGATCCATTTTGTAAGTGAATAGAAAAAAGTAAATCTACATTGAAAAAAAGATTTTTTGAGTTAGTTAAAAACGAAAACATTACATTTAATACACTATTTGCACACCATCTTTGAGTCTTGACTTCCAACAGTCCATCCTTGTTCCATTCCTGTTGTTGCTTCCTTTCCTTCCTGTTGGTACTCCACTTACTCCTTGCTTTTGCTCCATTTGCTTTCCGTTTTCCTCTTCTGACCGTAAGACTTCTTCTTACACGTCCCTTCTTATACTACTTCGTATAAGTAGCACACACCACAATATCACACAACTCAATAAAAAACAACAAGTCAAAGTTTATTGGCTAACCCATTCTGATTTATGAAATGACCCGTGATTACAAGACCATAACCTTCAAAATTCCAACATATTCACTAATCAAGTTTAACAGTTTGATCGGGGATATGATAAATTTTAGATAAATCAAAAATTTCGATAAAGTCATCTTTATAACTGCGAAGATGGATAATTGACTAGAATGTTTAGTAATGAATGCAATCGGAAGGATTGATTCAAACAAAACTCAACAACACCGACCTATATCTATTCTCATACACCTATGGAAATTTAGAATTCAATTCTTAAGATCTTTGCTTTACTTTTCAATGATTTCACTGAGTTCTATTATTTTCCAGGTCGAAGTTTACACACTAATCCAGCATTGAATAGTAAATTAACAAAATGGGAGCATATGATGGGTACTCGACGAATTAAAGCCGATACAGATGTAGGTGGTGGTCGTAAATGGACAGGAAGATCACATGGGGATACACATGCAATTGTATTACGATCTGTGGCAGCGGGAGCAGCTGGTAAAGGTTTAGTTTCCGGAGGTGCTAGCAGTCATAGAGATGTTACCATTGAGCCTGGATCTTTATTAGAAGGAATTGGACCAATATTTGGTCCAGACACAGAGTTTATTGAAGAAAGATTTCGTGAATTAGGCAATCAAATTGGGAAATTATCAACTTTTGAAGAACGTTTGAGTAAATTACTACAAGGTGCTAATCGTGTCATAAGTATTGTAAAGACTATTAAGGAACAACAAAAACAAGTAAGATAATTACTTAAATTCATAAGTAGTATATTAATATTAAGCTATAAATATATTGGCATTCAACATTAGACAGTTTATATGATATCAGTATTTTAAAAGTTGAAACATTTATCAGTCAGTTTGATTCTATTTTTGAAGATTCTTATTAGTCCACAACTTCATAACAGTTATTGTGTCGTTACCAGTTCATCAACTGTTGGGAATGTTAGATCCCCAGAACTCGTTTGCTAAATATCTTTATTTTGGATTTATTCCATGGACCGATCAGTTGATCTTGAGATCACATTTCCCAACAGGAAAATCCTTGGCTGTGATTGGTCACTGTGTCATTTTAGTGTGCTATCTTTGTGACTCTCCCAGAGACGTCTCTATAGAGTATAAATAAAAGCGATTGAAGTGCTTGGATTGATTGTGTGCTGTCTGGGTGTTTGTAGAATACACTTCCTACTCTATATCAAGACTTCTTGCTGGTACGATTGGGACAATCGGATCACAGTAACCTACCTGGACTCTGGTTCGACTAAGGTGAACCCATAATAGTTTTAAGCATATCTAGAGACGAGCATAACATCAACATAGTGGAAACCTCGCAATCTTAAGTTGTAGAACTCACCAGTGTAACCTTGAATTTTTAAATTAGATAGGATATCTTGAATTTATCGAAAGGAAAATAACTGAAATTGTTGACTATATTATTTAGGAAGAAATCAGTCTTAAAATTCACATATTGAAGCTAAGTTATTTTCGTTCAATAACTTTCAGTGCATTCTCATTTCTAACATGCATGAAATTAGGTATTTCAGCTTTCAATTAATTTTCATTACAACAATCAATTCATTGTGATTTTGCATCCAAATGACGATTGTTCAATCTCATAAATTCTGTAATAAATAAACATTTAATTTACTCCATATGTAATTGACTATACTTGAATTGAAATACAAAAGCTTCTTGTTGTCTGTTATATGGTTTCTAGTCATAAATCTTGTCTTTCTATTATTCCCGTGTTGATTATGGACGTTGAAAAGTTGTGAAGCATTAATCAGTTGGTATATCAGGTGTGCATGTACTGCATTCCGTAATTAGGAAATACATTGGACAACACAAAACATAACTTTAAGATGATATTAGCTTCAAAGATTTAGAGAACACATGAAGACAGTTATAGAGAGGCTTCCAGAAAACGGAAAATTACGGCCATAATACTCATTAGTTGATTTATATGAGAAAGTCTATGCGTCATTTTCACACTTCATTCGTGAATAAAAACAAATTTGTACAAATTTGTAATCTTTTTCTTTCCGCGCTTATCAATCTATTAAGTAAAGTAATATGTGGAAATTATATTAATTTCAGCATCCGAATGTCTAAAACTTGATGTCAATAAGATTTGCATCACGGGGTTGTGAAGATTGTTAAGTTACACATTTTTGAAACCATGAATCAATCATTGTTAGACTACCATCAGAAACCTGGAAGCACTGGACGGCCGTTTCGTCCTGGTATTGGACTCCTCAGCAGCGCGCATCCACGACGTGACCAGTGGAGTTCAACCTGTTCGGGTGTAGGCAGTGTCTACCGAAGACTGTGTATGAGGTTGAGCAACTCCGTGAATTTGATCAAGTTAGACATTAACACCGCTAGATACCGGCTCAGTGGTCTAACGGTTAGGGCGTCCGCTCACAAATCCGGAAGGTCCTGGGTTCGAACCCTGCGGGGTGCAGTAGTCGTGGATGCGTACTGCTGAGTAGTCCCATACCAGGATGAAGCGCCGGCAAGGTTAACAATAGAAAAACAAGGTTATTCAACAATATTTCTAAACTTATTCAAAAGTCAATATCGAATGATTTGCATATCAATCACTCAGCAAATTTCTATTCAGTTAGTGCTTCAGAATTCAATAGTTTCCCATTTGTTAACTTTAACCAATTTTCAATCATCATTAAATGTCATCGATCGGAGTCACTCACAGCTATCAAATTAATTAATGAAACAGATCATAAATTTAACTCAATACTTCTGGGCTAAATTTTACTTCCTTTTCTTCTGTTCCAATGTGATGAACGAATACTTAATGACCAGATAGAATACTAGTGTATTTAGAAAAGACACAGTTAATTAACAAAATTTGTGCACTTTATCTCCAGACTTAAATTAACAAAACACGTAAACTATTGATCGTCTTTTGTAACACATCTCCTAGTCTTAAAAATTCTCTGGAGAACAACGCCCAAAGTTTCCTCCTCCCGTTCATTCATCCGTTCATAATAATTTCTCTAAACAATTTATTGTGAATTAGGCAAAACTTCATTAGTGATTAACCCCCGTTTTGTTTAACACCATAATCCATTTACATTTTAGATAATAAAAAGTTTAACACCAACCAATGGTAAACGACTTGTTGGTTGGGGTAATTCAAACAAGAAAGATCATAAAAATTTATTAATTTCAGCTGTTTGTACAGCTGTTACTGGTCTCGATACACATTGTACTATTATTGAAGAGAAAATTGAAGAAAAGTAAGGTGATCCACACCAAAACATGCATGCATACGCACTAATAGTATTGATTAATTTCAAATGACCATTTATTTATTTTTTTAAAAAGTTTCACTTTCCCCACTACCACTGCTGCTACTATTAAACATTAACGTTAATGGCAATAAATATTATCAAAGTATTATTAACACTAAGAAATTTATGTTGGAACAATCGTGATTACCAGTTATTCATCTCTATTCCATCTCTCTTGTACTTGTGACATTGCCCTTCCTAAAAATATGCATAGTTAATGCATTAATCCCATTGGAAGAACTGCTACTGATCTTCCAACAAAAGCAGACAATAATGAATAACATTACTAATTGTCGAGATGTTTCTGATTGAGATTGAAAGCAGTTAGTCTCACAAAAGGTTATGTACTTTTCATCCCCATGGGAGGGTGGACACTCCGGCTGACCTTGTGGGACAAACTCGATTTTTAGCTTCATGTGGGGTGTGAGGGCTCCGGTCGGTTGTATCAGCGCAAGGCACTTTGAGGCCAGACGGTTGGAATGGCTGCTGATTAGTGCACTGCTGGGTGGCTCGGCAACCCGTTCGGGGCGCCAGGTCTAGCTAGGAAGGCCCGCCTTACCGCCCTTGCCGATTGAGGATTGTGGGTAGTGGATTGGTTGGAGAGGTCTTGTTGATTCATAAGTGCGCGTGCTTTTTGGACGTCCACCTGTCTGCAGACCAATCTAGACAACATGTGCGTTCCCTTTTGGGGCAGGGGTGATCGCATTATTGGTTCTTGCGGCGTGCATGTGCAGCAGGCATGCTGGTTAACCAAGAATACTTTTTTATAAATCCTCTTGAGCATATTACTTACTTACGCCTGTTACCCTTAACGGAGCATAGGATGTCGATCTGCATTCTCCAACCAACATTGTCCTCAGCCTTCCTTTCTAGTTCTACCCGATTGCTGTTCATTCTTTTTATTAGACGCTAACTAGGAAAAATAATTCATAAGCATATATGACTAACATAATTAATTAGCTGTCATACATTTTAAAATAATGAATTTTTTACTGTATAATATAGGTGATTTAGAAATTGGTTTGAGCTTGCTATCAATACGAGAAATTCAAATCAAATTCTCTACACCTTGTAGATGAAATCCATTTTGAGTTAAAATGAATTTTGTAGAGTTTTTCATGACCAACAGTTCAAAATGTTAATTTCCTATTATTTTATACATTTTTAATTTCACTCAGATATATATAAGTAAAATTGAATTGTATTTGGTAGATTGACTCCATACCGTAGCTTCGCGAGTGATTCTCGGAGTTCTAGTGAGAAGACATGACCAGAGGAGTTCAAATCTATCGGATGTAGGCAGTAACTACCAAAAACAATGAGTGTGTAAAAATCCTTTGATTGATCAGATTTAGACATTAATGCCGTTGGATGCCGCCTCAGTGGTCCAGAGGTTAAGCATTCGCACGTGCAACCAGAGGTCCTGGATTTGAATGCTACAAGAAGCAAGAGTAGTGAGCGCTCACCGCTGATGAGTCCCATTCCAAGACGAAACGGCTGTTCAATGCATCCAAGTCTTTAATAATGTTCTAACAATGAGTCATTTATAAATTCAAGGCTAAGACTATTGAAGGTTTGTTTTAACATAGGAAATATCCTGAACATTGTATTCTATCGCTTTATATACACTGAAGTATTACATTTCTTCTCTAGAAGTATACTTTAAAATGAAAATATGTATTCCATCCATTGACTTCTAACAGCCTCTCGTTGTTTAGTAAAATTTTCTATATGTTTTTTTGCTAAACACCTCCTGAAATTATGCACACGAAATCTTATAACCATTTCAGAGATGTAAAAGATTCACCTTCCTTTTTTCCTAAATTGTTAGTTGAAGCAAATATGGATGGATTATTACGCAAATGTTTAACAACAGCGTAGACTAAAAGCTCATAATTCATAACGTTGACTCTAAGGGTAGAACACTACGTTGAACTGACTCTGTTTAGTGAGACAAAAGCGTCAGACTCTACAACAATCATTAAATAATTACAAAAACTCTTTTTTTTCATGTTATGTTGAACATTTTTAGAGAAAATAACTACAAGTACAACTGTTCTTTTTTTATCTAAAAGGTTAAGAATTGAAGAACAATGCGTTAAAGCTATTTTAACAAGAAGCAACGGTGATGAACCTGAACCGGATACAGTTCTAACCCCCCGCAAGGGACCACCATCACGTGGTCCACGTGCAACTCCAGCATCTGGTAAAATTTATGAACGTCTCATTCTAAGTCATCGATTATGGCGTATAGTTCCATTTAATTTTGAAATATTTCCCGGAATAAGAATGAATGTACCATCGGATAAAATCAATTGGAAAGTAAGTGTATGGTGTGTGGATTTGATTAGATTATTCACTAATCGTCATAGTGAACAATCTTTGTATATTATCCATTCAAAAAATCAATAGATGTGTGTGTTGTATAACACAAACACTCATTGACTTAAATGAAATAAAAATCAGGTTACGGGTCAAATGTAGCAACTTATATTTTGAGAACTCATCAATAAACGAACAACCTTTTATCAGTCTCAGTGACCTTAATCAGTTAAATCAAGAATAAGTGTGCATGGGTTCCTATTTTGCAAATATTCATCGATCGACTATTAAAATGATTATATTTTCATTTTGTTAAAAGATTATGCTTCCGATGAAATTGTAGGATTCGTCACTTGGTACGCTTGAAGCTATTACGAGTTCACGTTAGTCCATAAACGCGAACGAGAGACTTCTTTCCTGTCCCTTCTTATACTACTTATATCGTTCGTATAAGTAGCACACACCACAATCATAGGATATTTCTAGAGTTTACAGGTTACAGCATGGACAAAATTAGCATATACAGTGTACAAATCTTTTGTTACTTCTGCTTTCAAAAAATGTTAACCAGTAAATTAACCTTTGTTTTTAGCAAAATAACACTCTGTATATTCAATGCAGATAAAAACGAGTTAAATATCTTGGTAAATTTCCATATTTCATCATGTTTATACCATTATATATACACGTCACTTTCAGATTCCATACGATACATATCGAACATTCACTGTAACCGATGACAGAATTGCTTTACCTTATCCAGAATTAGAAGATGGACCAGAAGTGTAAGTTATGACTACTATTGCTTTTCATCATGTCAAATTTGTTCGTTAAATGGAAAAATTTATGAAAGTATATTTCAAGGAAATCAGTAAGAACTATTCTTCTTTCCTTTTTTATCTACACCATAATGTTTTGGCATTGAAATTTAAATTCAGCGCAAACGTACACTGACCTTTGTACATAGACTCCATACTGAATTTCAATAATATTTTTATGCACTTTACTTTCGTAGCAAACTACAGTATATCATGCGAATAAGTCTGTTTCCGGCTGAACTGCAGGAGTGATTTAATAGAATTATGTTATTCAAATTTATGTAAAAATAAGGTTATGTATTTGTTATTGTGAAAATATTGTTTGTTAAGATGTCGAAAAGAACATTGGTTGATATATGTGATAGACAATGAAACAATCTGGTCAAATAATGTTAAATAGTCGGAAGTAAGATAAAAATAAACAAATGCTTCAGCATTCAAATTAGGTCATAAACAAAGAAAAATCAATAAATAATCAGCAGTGCGCATCCACGACTCCTGCACCCCGCAGGATTCGAAACCAGGACCTTCGGTATTGTAGGCGAACGCCTTACCATCGGATCACTGAACCGGTATCTAACGGTGTTAATGTCTAACTTGATCAAATTCACGGAGTTGAACAACCTCATACACAGTCTTCGGTAGTTACTGTCTACACCCGAACCGGGTTCGAATCCTGCGGGGCACAGGAGTCGTGGATGCGCACTGCTGAGGAGTCCCATACCAGGACGAAACGGCCGTCCAGTGCTTCCAGGTTTCTAATGGTGGTCTAACATTGATCGATTCATGGTTTCAAAAAAAACTTAATAATCTTCACAACGCCGAAATGCGAAATACCTGTGCTCACTAGAGACTAGCTTCGTGAGGGATCTCCGAGTTCTAGTGGGAAGACGTGACCAGTGAAGTTCAACCTGTTTGGGTGTAGGCAGTGTCTACCGAAGACTGTATATAAGGTTGCGCAACTCCGTGAATTTGATCAAGTTAGACACTAACATCGTTAGATACCGGCTCAGTGGTCCGATGGTTAGGCGTTCGCCTACAATAAATAGTCAATAAAATAAGCTAATTAATGATAAAAAATAAGCTACAAGTCAAAGATTTTTGAGATTATTAACACTTTTTTTGATTATGTTTTGTTTAATCATGGAATCGACAGGGTTAGTATAGATTTCTTCTGTATACAAAGGCTAAAATTAGTACTTTGAGTTATTAGCGTAGCTTTAACTGTATGCAGAAGGTAAATTAGGACCTTATTAGTCAAAGGAAATCGTAGAGCTGAGTTCTTGGCTAGTTGACGATTGTCATCAATTCTAATGACACTAGTTACTACATAATGGTGAAAAAATTGTAATTATCTAAGTTCAGCAAGTCGTGAGCCACATGACTTGCTTTTATTATCTCAGACTATAAATTTATGTGAAGAGAGTTTAAATCTCTTAGATACGACTTGTTCATGAAACCCATCTGTTACACAGTTTAGGTCTAGCAGTGTACCCTATCTACCACTTTTAACGATCTTACATAAAACATTTTATGACTTTTATTTTTGATATAAATACTTAACTAAGCCAATAGAAACTCTTGATAACCGAGGTGATATCATTATGATGAGAATAGGTAGCTTGATTAGTTGTAAAAGAACTGACGCTTAATAATATTATAATTCTGTATTTAAGACTGAAGAAAGCAAACATAAAACGTTCATTGCTATGATATGAAAGGTCAACCGAAATTCAGCGGTCAATGAAAGGAACTCACAAGAAACTGTACTTAAATCAAGTTGCGTAAACAGTTGACAATGTGAACTCTCGACTGAAAATAAGATATGGCGTCAAACTCATCATAGAATAACCTTTATTGACGGCCTGACTTTAAATTTATTTAACATTAAACGGAGTTAGTCATAATTCAAATAACTGATAGATGATGTGTTTAACCGGTTCAGTAAGTAACAAGAATTTAAGCTTCTAATAGTAGTAATATTTTCGAGCAGAGTTTTGGAGGTTTGTGTTTTTACACATTTGAAATCATCAATCAATCATTGTTAGATCACCATTAGAAACCTGGAAGAAGCACTGGAGGGCCGTTTCGTCCTGGTACGGGACTAATCAGCAATAAGCATCCACGACTCCTGCACCTCACAGGATTCGAACCCGGGACCTCTGGTATTGTGCGCGAACGCCTAACCATCGTATCACTGGGCCGGCATCCAACGGTGCTAATGTCTAACTCTGATTAATCAAGGGATTTTGCGCGACCTCACCCATTTGTCTTCCGTAGTTACTGCCTACACCCGATAGGGTTGAACAGTGCACACTAATGACTAGCTTCGTGAGGAAATTCTCAGAGTTCTAGTTGAGAACAGGTGACTAGTGGAGTTCAACCCTGTCGGGTGTAGGCAGTAACTACCAAAGACAAATGGGTGAGGTGGTGCGAAATCTGTAGATTGATCAGAGTTAGACATTAACACCGTTGGATGCAAGCCCCATGGTCCAGTGGTTGGGCGTTCGCGCAGAATACCGGAGGTCCCAGGTTCGGATCCTGCGAGATGGAGGAGTCGTGGATCCGCACTGCTGATGAGTCTCATACCAGGACGAAACGGCCCTCCAGTGCTTCCAGGTTTCTAATGGTGATCTAGCAATGATTGATTGATGATTTCAAATAGTAGTAATAGTCTTAATGAGGTCGATGAATTATCGCAGTGGTAACTGCCTATAATAAATAATAACTTTGTCTAACAACTAAATATTATATCTACTTCATTGCAAGATAATTTATGTATGTCACACATCATCGATGGCAAGCTCAGATCACTTTTGATTATCAAATATCAAATTATCTATTAAGAAACATTCTTTCATTTATATATATATGTATATATATATATATATATATATATATGTTATAGTTCGTTTCATTTTCTGTACAATTTCATGTATTTCAGTTTACCACAAACATTACCATACAACAGTTATGATCATGTGAAAGGTGTAAGTCGAATGTCATTACGTGGTCGTGTACGCATAGTTAGGCAAACAGATCATATAACTGATCCTAGAACAACTAATGTAACATCGAAAACTGCACCGACTAAAACATCAGCTAAATTATCTGAATATATTCCTGTTGGTTATCCATTAAATCCATGTGGACGTACTGGTTTAACTGGTAAAGGTCTACTACCACATTGGGGACCGAATCATTGTATTATTATAGCGATTACAAGACCAGATCCAGGTCATGCATATTATGAAAGTTTACCAATTATTCAAGTGGGCTTACTGCATAACAATCAACAATTATGTTTACCATGGGTGAGTTCAGAAAACATTATTATTATTATTATTACTATTGGTAATTATACTAGCTGATATGTTACTGTACATAGTTTTCAATCAGGAATCGATC